GAGGATAAAGGAAAGATGTAGGAAGTTCTCGAAAGCTCCGCAAGTGAACTATTGTAGTTTGTTCCGCCGATCAGCGACAATAGAGGGTTAACTTGATAGCTTCTTTGYGAGTTAACCTAAGGTTAAAGTTTGCCAAGCTCCAAACAACCCTGCCTTTCATAGTACAACACAAAACAGCGGAGTATTGCATTACATTAAAACGAGTCCATACCTTTTCCTCCTCTAAGTATTGTTTATCAAACTCCAACGAGTATATCTCAATAGGAAAATCGCACGGATTCTTGATAATGACCTCTTGCTCGTCWCCATTTGAATGAGGAAGAACTGGACCAAATTCAACTAGCGTAGAACTGAAGTCAACCTTAGGTTCACTACCCTGGCCTGTRGCATTCACCATAATACGACTAGTGCTTTGAGCGATACGAATAACCACGCGCTGGTTGTATGTTATCTTTGGGAATAAAACATTAAGTTATGGCGCTGTTATATAGAAAACGCAGGAAAACAATGAAATAAAATCAAACTTAATACTAACAAATAGMGTCATTTAGAGGTAAATTGTCAGTATCAATGAACCAGAACGCAATTCATTGATAGAGTCATTTTCATCAGTCTGTGAAATAGGAATTGTACTATTAAATACTATTACCCCCTATTAGCTCCCAATAGTTTACCTTATGGCATGCAACAAACTAATTAGGCAAACACGGTTTTGATTTTGCCTTTTGGTAGCCTACTACACCCTGATAGTTACTATTAAACACTCACTGGAAAAAATCGCGCGCTTTAAAGGTTGCAAATTTGATGTAAATATTATATAAGTGTCCAAAATTCTGTAAATTTAATGGAAATCATTCACATTAAATTTACAGAATTTTGGACACTTACATCATATTTACATCAAATTTACAACCTTTAAAGCGCGCGATTTTTTCCAGTGACTGACTAGTAGTAATTGTTTGACATACGTATGAAAATGACTCTACTGACAAATTGTCTCTAAATAGCCGCTAWTTGTTAGTATTTAGTTTGATTATATTTCATGGTTTTCCTGCGTTTGCTCTACGGTGTAATTTTCTCAGCAACGTCTGCTGCAACGGCATTTCGAAGCAAGTTACTTGACAATTACATAGAGTAACAGAGCTTGTTATTTATTAATATATGTCTTCTCTGAACTGTAAAATCTTGTTAAAGTAATACCTCTTCTGTCGGCATAAACTTGACTTGTACATTAACTCTTTGTCCAGGTAGTAAAGTTCCCACTGGAGGCATCACTTCAAAATGCTTTGGCTTGGGCTGCTCGTTACGAAGCTTCTTTCTCAAGTGAAGAGGAATCATTTTATCCGTCTGTTTAAAATGATACAAAAACGTTAACTATCGAAATGGTGAGCTGTGCAAAGAGAAAGTCATATAAAGCGCGCTGATAACACTACTAGTTGTTGAAAAGCTTTATTGCTTTTTTGTACATCAAAACACATTTGTCTTGTTCTATTCATCCAAATAATACATTTATGTCACAGTTATTTGTCTGAAACTCCCGACAAATTCTCCTTGAGATGTTGAACTTTTCGCGCGCTTTTTGGTTGCTCCAGTTGACGCGCGTGTCATTTGAATTTCCCGCCCTTTTTGTCGAAAAAGTCAAAGCTTACATAGGGAGCCCAAAACGTCGATATGAAAAGCTAAGCTTTCACAAAGCGTTTTAGGTTGTATATATACATTCTWATTGGAAAATTAATAGTCATAATAGTATACCTTTTTCTTCTTTTCTTCCGTTGGTTCGGATGACCAATCACACCTAAAGCAAATAGWAAAAAAGTCAAGGAAAATTTTGCGCGGACAAATRACAAACYTTCACGTTACCTGACTGGCTGAGAGTTATGMAGCTGAACAGTCATGACTTTACATTGTCCGCACACCACACTACCAAAGTCCAAGACATCAGTAGAAATRCTCATATTCGGCATCGTTACATTAGCTTTGAGTCGAAGTCTGTACAAAGGGCCACCTAATGTAGTAACTGGTACAACAGTATCGACCACGCCCAGGGGTACATTGGCCCCTTTRGGATCAAAGGTGACCATGAACTCGATACTTTCGTTGTCTGGACTACCAGGAAGATTCTTGATTCTGTCCARCTCGATTTCAAACCCAGTGCCRGTAAGCTGAGACTTGTCAGGTGCAAAGGACGCTGGRATGGARCCGTTATTTGTGACGCGTATRATRTGAGAGCGAATTGTACCATAGACGACGTAGCCAAAGTCAAGAAGATAGCTGATTGGCTTAGCCCTGTGTGATGTCAATAATATGGGATGTTAAAAGAAACACAAATTGAAAGAAAACAATTGGAAAAAGGACGACATCCGAATGGGGGTCCCTTTGGGGTGTCACAATTACGAGGCATTAGACGAAGAATAAGCGAGGAAAATGTATGGAAATAGTGAAGATACAACGAGTACGAAGTCAGCTCTCAACGTACTTTGTTTTCTTTGTTTTTGGTTTCGGTGCCTGGAATATTGACGATGCGGTTGGTGTCATCTCAATGGCATGTTGTTCAACAATCAGCCTCTCGACTTCCATCTGAAGCCTAAGATCACCAACAGCCTGATAACAATGAAARAATAGATTAGTTSTYATACCAGTTTYAAACCTGTTTGRCTGGTTTATTGAAGAAATAAAAAACATGCACTTGTGCTKAATCAAATTCTTTTGGGAGGGACAGGAAGCCCGACAAAATGGTAGTCTGCAAAGGTAACTATAAACTGTCAAATACAACTGTCAACGAAATGTTGCGCTTTCATATATCCAATGACCAATCAGAACGAGCGTTCTATAAGAGTTTTACTATACTCTATAATACTTACATGAGCGACCAACTGTAAAGGYACGTCATCATTCATTTTGTCTTGCTTGGATAAGTTTTCTTTGGCTTGCTCCACTAGACCTGTGTAACGTTCATCTTCTTTGTCCAAGGGTAGGTCGAGCAATATACGAGGAAAGACACCCTCACCGGTCAACGTGATCTTATCTGGTTCAAAGTGAGCCACACGGATCTGTAAAAACAAAACATTTACGTGAAACAGAGACAGGCCTGATGCTTTGTGCTGGTGTTTATTCCCATTGTATAAATATACAAGATAACACATGGGTGGTGCTTTGAGGAAGTCATACTTTGCAATTGTAGAAACGTTTTTAATTATAAATGATTTATAAATTTCCGCACGGAGCGTGAGATAAATGGCTTGCGGAATTCCTCTAGAGATGCTCCACTTTTCCCGCGCTTTTTAGTTGCTCCTTTTGACGCGCGCGTATCATTTGAATTTCCCGCTCTTTTTGTCAAAAAAAGTCGTAGGAAGTCCATTCATTTTGGTTCAGAATAAAACATAGAACTGTTTATAACACAAAAAATGGATATCCACTATTAACTCATTCATTCAATACCTCAATTTCTCGCTTGCGCGCTCACTCACTCATTCTCTTACTCAATGTCATTGAAAATCTCAATCCAACTGGGGCTCTAGACGGTTACCTGAAAATGTTTTTCAAACTTCTTTGGTACTCCAGGAAGATACTTGATGGTGATGACCTGTTTGTCAAAAGCAGTGATGTGTCCTTTCCATGGATTAACATTGGGTAGACCGGGCTGTACTTTTTCATCAGTGTTCATGTTGAGGACAATGAAGTCAAAACCAACTTTACCAGTATTGTGAAGAATTATACTATCGCTGGCAACTTGATCAAAAAGCTGGAAAACAAGTAAAAGACATTTGGTTTTCTGCATAACATCATGAACTTAACAAATTGCGTATTATTTTGAGTTGAGACACTGTTGACGTCATAAAATGTTTTCAATTTGACATTTGAACATGTTATACGGTCAAGAATGCGACAAAAATGGAAAAAAAATTATTTCACTCTGCACAGTGTCAGTACAGTGTATGTTTTATTATAAAACTTATTAATAATGCATTACTCCAATAAGGGCTGTCCATTTAATCAGGTGATTGACCTTGTAAATCTAATACAACACTGTGATACAACACTAGTGTTGTATAAGATTTACAACACGGTCGTCACCTTGAGACAACTCAACATTAGCAAAGGTCTCAGTTTTAGTATCGCATCATAGACCTTCACTAGATTTTGAAGCAATCAAAGACGGATAAAAGAACTTGCTTATGCAAAAGATGGCTTGCTTTCCATGTGGGATGGATAATCATTCAAAATATTCTGTGTTGCAGTAAATTGCGCATGCTTAATAGGGACTAAACTCAGCAGTTACCTTAATTGTCATTTTTCGCCAATTATCTCACTGTAATTCATGTTAATTAGTGTTGGAGTTTTATAAGTCGTTTACAACATTCGCGTCCGTGTTGTATGGGAATTACAATCTCTCGCCTGCGGCTCGAGATTGTAATTCCCATACAACACGGCCGCTCATGTTGCAAACTATACTTATTGACACACTTTAATCAGCCAATCAGCTCGAAAGTCCATTTAATAGTGGTAAAATTGTCTTTTTATTGGCTATTCTCATAAGACCATTGCAAAGCGGGCTTAGAGTATAATNAGTCCACGGTCTTCTTGTCAAAGAAATACTGCACAAGAGAAGCACTTCCTTTCAGATTAATGTCATAATCAGGCCCACCGGTGACTGAACACCTTGCTACAGCATCGGCACTGAGATTTGCGTGACCATAAAACGTAAACTGAAGCTTTTGAGTTTCCATTGGACGAATAGTGCTGTACAGAGGTAGTATGTCAAAGACCTGGAAGGAAAAAAATCCATGTGTGGGTTTTTCAGTGGTCGTGGATGGAAAACAGTGAATACGTATTTAAAATACAGTTAACTCTCTTTGAACGACCACTCTCGTAAGCGACCATATCCCGTAAGCGACCACCTTTTAAATTTCCCGTTATAACGGTTTCCCATATATACTCTGTAAAAAGATCTCTCTCATAAGTGACCATCTCTCGTAAGCGACCACTTTTTCCTGATCCCAAGGTGGTCGCTTACGAGAGAGTTGACTGTATTTGAAATGACTTCGGGCACTAAAGTCATGATTTCCTCAATTGCTTTTCAAAAAATGGGATTTCAGACAAATGTTGCTCTATTTGTTCTAAAATGTGACGACTTTTGACCATTTAAATTTGCAGTATTAATGACTAAATACAGACAACAAATTTGGCTGGGTGCGCTATGTTTCTACAACTCACCTCATCGATGCCAATGTTAAAGAGAGGATCGCTAGCTGCTGCCCATTGCTGAGCTGAGACAGGTCTTGACATCTGCCTTGAACTGCCGTTTGATGACCCGTTTTCTTCTGACTTCTCGTCTTGGCTTCCGTATCCAACGTCGCCAATACCTATTGAATAATTGGATATTTCATCATGTTAGTTCATGATGTTAAAGGCCAATGTACATCTGATGAACTTTTGCGCGCGAAATATTTCTTTGATTTTTAGCCAATCAGAAAGCAACTTTCAAGATAATTACTATGACGCCACATGAATACACTATCACGTCACATGAAATCATTGTGACGTCACATGAAATCATTGTGACGTCACAAGAAATCACTATGACGTCACTGCAATCTATTGTTTTATCCGTCAAAGAAATCATAGAAAAACAAGAAATTATCATTTTTTAATTGATTAAGTTAAGTCTAAAGAAAACTTCACCCTGCATCAGCTTTCATATTTCTATTTTTATAATTTCCTAAATCAATGTTTGTTTTTGAATGGGGAAGTCACGGCTACCCTGTGACCCCACTCTTAATACGCCACAGAATCAGAATATTTTCCATCGTTATCACTGTTATAATCATCATTATTAATAGCATAAAGTATTTACCCTCGTCTTCATCTTTGTCTTCTATAGCCACGTTGCTATCAATRAAACACCATTCGTATTTACAGTCTATCGGGCTGTGATTAGTCACACTCACAATCCTTGTCACTTCTGTATCGTTCAATATACAGCCAAAGTCGACCTACCAAAACAAAAAAAAACGTTAGAAAATCTACTGCCTAAGCTAGAGTTCAGGGCCGTGTTGTTCAAAGCTCGATTAGCGCTAATCCTGGGTTAATTCTTAGCAAAAACCTATGGAGTTAAAAAGCCGTGGATTAACACTAAATTGGCAGTCCAGCTCTATTTACCATCACATAATGTGTGGTAAATTACGCGCATTTGGAATTCATGGTTCCGACAAATTAAGCGCGAGCGAGCGATTAGCCAATCCGAAGAAAGCGCGGGAATCGAACGCTCGCGGCTTGTCCGGCTTGTCCCACAAATGCTTTCGAGCCGTGCATAGATAACGTCAATCAATCTTACGCACGCGCTGTATTCATTTCATTATATTCATTATATCATTTCGCTCAACTGCTYCAGTGAAATTACGCGCGCTAGGAAAGTTTTAGAGGAGAATATTTTATAAAACAAATAAATTATATTTTCATTGCGTGTGTACTCTAGTAGACACAGCACACTATTCGACGTGATCTGTGTATCTACAGTCGAACCTCTATCAAACGACCCTCTATTAAGCGGTCACCCTCCATTTAGCGGTCACTCATGGACTCAGCATAAGTCGATTCTCACATATATTTACTGAAAAACATGACCTCTTTTAAACGGTCAAGCACGGGAAAATAGAATGTGATTGTTAATTATATCGCGCTAAACATTGCTTGCGCTCTTTTAAACTTACATCAGCCATTTCAAAGGTTAGATTTGGGAAGAATACTTCTCCTTTGAGTTTGACAAAGTCCTGTAAGAGAAAAAATACAGCAAATAAATGAATGGAGGCATGACTGCTCAGCTGTTTGTGGTTAATAGAATTAGCGCCTTCAATCCGTGAAACACAACTAATTAGAGGGCAAACACTAAAACTATAAAAAAAACTTTAGCAATAAAATTGAACTGAATCATACGAATTTTCTTTGTTTTCCATGATATAATTTACACTATATTGCGCTATTTCGCACTATTTTGTAAGTACTTTTTCATGGATTTTTCACTCTGTACATAATAAGATGTTTAGAAAAACATAATATTAAGAAAGATAAGAAAGAAAACACACTTTTTGCTGTTATTAATGCATTAATWACASTAGCAAAACCTTGTGTTTTCTTTRCTTATCTTTCTTACTCTATRCATAAKAGTAGTAAAGTTTGGATCGTACCATTTGTGGGTGATCATTGAAAGTTACTTCAAGGAAGTTCTCTGCAATACGTGTTTCACTGTCTTCTTTGTAAGCTGGATCAAATTGAATAAGAACAGGAACTGACTCGGACACAGCCAGACATAGTTCCTATAAGAAAACATCAACGTTATGTTCAATGTTATCTTTGAATCAGTTTGAATTGTGTTCAAGCCAATGAAAGTGGTCGTATAAAGTGGTCTTAAACCGGTCTTAAATCTTCCTATCTAGACCGCGTGCTCGTTTAATAAGAAGTAGATACCATAATCAAATAAACTACGATAATAGAAACACACCTGTATTTGTATAGAACTTACTGTTTCAGATGATTCCACATTGAGCGGAGCCCATCTTTGATCTTCTACAAGAAGCTGGAATGGCATGAATGTCTTGAGTTTGACCATCAGCGGTAGAGAGGACACGTTGGTCATCACCACTTGTTTGGTTTCCATTTCAAGCTTGCTTTTTGGATACTGAATAATAGATAAGATATTAGTATAACATTAAAGAATCACAACCAACCGCGCTACCTTGCGAGCCGAAGCGAGCTCGAAACCTTTTCCAACCTTTCAGTGGGACAGAAATGCCTTTAACTAAGTACCTCACAKGYACTATCAAACTTTCTAAAATACTTAGGATACTACGCGCGCTGTGATTGGTCGAAAACCATGTTTGATTACAGTATCAAAACACGCTC